TTTTTCCTTGTACATAAACCAAAGTAGCCCCGAAATTTGTTTCTCTAAAAGTCCGAGAATGCAATTCTATTAGAGTTCGATTAATTTTATTCTTGTTAACTTTGGCACCGTCTATCTGCAGATCTTTCTGAAATTTTCCTCGTTTTGAAAATCGCTTGCTCATTACTATAGGACAAATGGATATAGCTAATCATTAATGTATTTTACAAGAACTGTCCTTTTTTAGGTATATCGCTTATTAGAAAATGTTCCTCTCATTTATGAATAATAGCATTCATCTTACTGGAGAGTTCGTTGGGAATATTTCAATATTTAATTGCAAGACTCTGATAGTCAATTTCACAAAATCCTTGAGAGACTCCCTTTGTCTCGACCATTCGGAAAACCATCACAAGTATCAGTCAGATGTTTAATAGTTCAAAGTATACGAACATGTTATAAGTTGTCGGTCGCTCTATGGGTCGTGCTCTGATTGGTCGGCGGGAATTTTCAAATTAATAATTTGAATAGAAGCCAATCCCAAACTGCGTTTTTCTTCTATTTCATTTCTATTATCGGAATGTATCCAAAACTTTCTCGCGTTCCTTCTGTTGTATTTGCGAGTAAATTTATGGCGATTTACTAAGCGTGTCTTCGATTTGGCACAAGGCCAAAAATATTGGGTACCCAGTGAGGATCGAACTCACTGCTCAGTAGTAACTGATTTAGCGAGACAAGCTTGCTAACGATTACATCACGGTGAAAGCCCTTCATAATTTTCTAAGCTTAGCCTAGATGTAGCACCAGACCGAAAGTGTGGAGCATCCAATGAAGATCGAACCCACTACTCAGTCGTAATTGATCTTGCAAGACGAGCTTTCGATCCATTACACCACGTCGAGGTGCCCTTCTATAGTACTTTGATTTGCTCACTGGTAAGGCTTGCCAGCGTTACAGCTATCTTACGCTTCCCTGGAGTAATGTTCATCGCAGACAGTGACTGTAGGACAACTAATCGACAGTCGAGACAATAGTTATTAGTAATTGATTTAGTGAGACAAGATTCCTAAAGATTCCTTGATTATTTTATAAGCATAGATGTAACAGCAGGCCGAATGTGTGGATCGCCCAATGAGGATTGAACCCACTACTCAGTCATAATTGATCTAGCGAGATGAGCTTTCTAACCGTTACACAATGTCGTGTGCTCTTGCGAGTAAATTTATGTGTAGGCAAACATTTTCCTAATGATCTGTCTTCGAACATACTCCGAGTTTTAGTGAATATCTAGCCAGGTAATACAACAGTATGTTGGTGCATCTTCCGAAATTCTGAATGTCTAGAACCTGGCAGTTGATCTTTTCCTCTGACCTTCACCCGGTCGCTCAATGGGGGAAGGACTGGCTTGTAAAATTCAAATACATCCCAAACCAAACTCGTGTACACACTTGTGAAAATTAATTGAAAGAAAACCAATAATTCCGTTATTATTTACTTTTTTTCGTATTTTTCCAATGAAACATGTTACAATTTCGTATGTCCATTCCACCAATTCGTCCCTTGCATACTGACCACAGATTCTCGATTGGATTTAAGTCAGGAGAGTTTCCGGACCAGTGCTTTGATTTGCTCACTGGCAAGGCTTGCCAGTGTGTTCGTATATTTTTCGTACGTCCATCGCAGACAATGGCCGTAGGACAACTAATCGACAGTTGAGACAGTAGTGTCTGGGTGTGCAAAAAATCTGATGCAATTACGGATGACGCAATATTTTTGAACGTCAAACAAATTTCATCATACACACCGAAAATAAATTCATATTACTGCACACCACTACAAATGACCTTATCTTAAGAAAATATAGAAATCGATTACAGCCTGTCACTCCAGTGGGTCAAAAACTGACCGTATGGTGAAAGAAAGGAAACTAAAGCGGTTGTTTCAATTAATATGCACAAGGGTGTCTATTACACCATCAACGAACAAACCCTGAACTTTCATATATCATCATGTGTTCTCTCAAGTGTGTTGCTTGACTTGAACTCCAATCGGGACTCATATATACTATTTATTGATAAAGATGCTGAGAAAATGGCCGGTTCTTTCTATTGCACCATTAAATATCTGAATCCTTCAACTATACTATATATTTACAAGAGTCAGATCAGACCCCAAATAGAGTATAGCTGCTATATCTAGGCTGAAGCTACCCAGACCTCACTTGCCTGTTAAAAGCATTTACGCGGTCTTGTGGGTGATGAATTATCTCAACCCTATTTTAATAGACGAGACGTCATAAGCCTCTCGCTACACTATCGCTATTTCGATGGCTAGTGTTATATTCCTTGGTGCCACCAGTCTTGACTTTGGGTATTTGGGACCCACGGGGCACGGTGGATTAATGAATATCGGCTCGGATTTGAGCCGAGTTCGAATTTCAGTTGAATCCATTACATTCACTTAAGTGCTAATACCCTTGGGAAAGGTATGAATCCTTTTCTTCTCCCTCCAGCTATGGGTAAATAGAGCGAGTTCTATAGCCTTGTATAGCAACTGGTATACCGCAGAAAGAAATGGTAACCCACTGCGGGAAAAAAATCTGCCTCGTCAGTCATGTTTCGAAAGATACATGATCCCCTAAGCGTGTATCACGCATGGCATTTAAAAAATTCCACGTACACGGAGCCGAATCATCCTCATTCTCCTTATATTCCATTGGTACGAAGGAAGCTTCTTCCCGAGAACCGCTAATTTGTGGAACAGAATGTGCCACTCGGACATTTTCTTCCGAAGTATTACTTCTCTGTGGAACAGACACCCGGCAGGATGTTTTCCCGATCGCTACAATATTTACCTATTCTCTACATAGCTTATGGCTTATGGCCACATCACGTTGAAACAGCGGTTCCCATACCATCACAGAAGTTAAGCAACGTTGAGCCTACCTAGATGGTTGGATACAAGGTGCTGTAAGCTTCGATGTGCAGGTGGTCTAAAAGATAATGGCCTGGAATTGGAAATGGAAGAGCCGAGTTCCAATTTCATTATTTCCTTATATTCATTTACTCCCAAATACCCTTGAGAACGACTTGAATCTACTTCTTCTCCCCCCTATGGGTTAAGTAGTAAAACTTTTATCGCTAAACCATTATTATCACGAAAAAGATTCTTATAATATTGTCTGACTTTAAATAACCTACAAAGGATTGACAGGCCGTAGAAAACGAATCAGCCAATCAATTAATTATGCATAACCCCATAAACCGAACTTACCTTCTCATACAACACTATACACTAACCCTGTACCTTGAGTGGCTCATGGGACAGATATTAGATGAACATTAGTATTTAAAAATATTTTTATACATGTCATATACTAAATATTCAGCTAATATTTCAGTTTACTAGAATTACCGTACTTGACGGCATATAAGACGCAACCCAATTTCAGCAGGGCAAATCAAGAGAAAAATAGTAAAATTATTAGTAAATTGTACAGCCTCGGCTATATTTTTGAGGCAATATTTGGGTTAAAATATCTATCTATCTATCTATCTATCTATCTATCTATCTCAGTCTCTTCATCTATCTATCTATCTATCTATCTATCTATCTCAGTCTCTTCATCTATCTATCTATCTATCTATCTATCTATCTATCTATCTATCTCAGTCTCTTCATCTATCTATCTATCTATCTATCTATCTATCTATCTATCTCAGTCTCTTCATCTATCTATCTATCTATCTATCTATCTATCTATCTCAGTCTCTTCACCTATCTATCTATCTATCTATCTATCTATCTATCTATCTATCTATTTTAACTTTTTCTGGCTTTTAATTTCTTTCTTCCTTTCCTTACACTCCCATGTTCATTCTGCCATTCATTCACTTCATCACTTTTTCTTTCTTTCTTTCTTTCTTTCTTTTTCTTTCTTTCTTTCTTTCCCAATGCTTGCTTTCTTTCTTTCTTTCTTTCTTTCTTTCTTTCTTTCTTTCTTTCTTTCTCAATGTTTTCTTTCTTTCTTTCTTTCTTTCTTTCCCAATGCTTTCTTTCTTTCTTTCTTTCTTTCTTTCTTTCTTTCTTTCTTTCTTTCTTTCTTTCTTTCTTTCTTTCCCAATGCTTGCTTTCTTTCTTTCTTTCTTTCTTTCTTTCTTTCTTTCTTTCTTTCTTTTTCTCAATGCTTTCTTTTCTTTCTTTCTTTCTTTTTTTCTTTTCTTTCTTTTCTTTCCCAATGCTTTCTTTCTTTCTTTCTTTCTTTCTTTCTTTCTTTCTTTCTTAATACTTACTTCTTTCTTTCTTTCTTTTCAATACTTATTCCTTATTAGCTTCTTCCTTTCTTTTTAATATTTATCTTCTCATTCTTTTCATTCAAACCTTTCTTTTATGATTACAATTAAACGAAAAATAATAGGGAAAAAAAAAACTTTAAAAACTTTCTCATAACCAAAGGTAAGAAAATAAAATAAAAATCAAGCAATTATTACAATTGTGCAAAACAGTACAGTTACCATTAAAATTCTATTCATCTCTAAATCGATAAAATTCGTCGTCTTCGTTATCAAAACTCTGATACGCATTTTCAATAAGACTATATTCGTCGTTAAATAATGCGTCATCTAATTTCGGCCGACTATCGTGAATTTTAAATCTACATATGGCATATAAGACGAAGGGAAATTTTTAAAAAAATATATTTTTAGTAAAAAAAATGCGTCTTATATACCGTCAAATACAGAATTTTTTTTTTTTCTTAAAGAATCTTTAGCGTCCAATTCGTTTGCGTGTCACTGTAGCTGTTCAGTAGGCGCCAGTCGTGGCCAACCAGCTATTATAAGACCCAATATTCTGCGCACACTGTGAACCTCCTGTCAGCCTTCCGCTGTTCTAGTTTTCTTTGGTATATTCGTGTGTTCGGCTCCTCAGACAATGACAGTGAAGAAGCTTGAAAGGACAGAACAGACAAGGGTCAAGAAGGCGCATACAGCGAAGTATTTGCGCGTTGGGTCGATTATCATATGGTCTGCAGTTGGACTTGCCGGAGGAAGATTTTGAGTCACCAGCAAGCAACCCGGTCGACCTTTTGCGGCTTTGCCAATTCTTGTCGTGGAGAACGTGTCGTTTTTCTCACTCTCCTTCCCTCTTATCATCGATTAGCCTTTGATTTTATCTTTTCTTTCCTTATTTACGCTATGTTCACTCTTTTACAAATTACATACTTTATCTCTTTCTTTTTAAGTTTCTTTCTTCTTTCTATTTCCTCACTCATTCTTTCTGTTTACCGTTCTTTTTTAATTTCAGTTCTCTGTTTTTTCTATCTATCTATCTATCTATCTATCTATCTATCTATCTATCTATCTATCTATTTTAACTTTTTCTGGCTTTTACTTTCTTTCTTCCTTTCCTTACACTCCCATGTTCATTCTGCCATTCATTCACTTCATCACTTTTTCTTTCTTTCTTTTCTTTTCTTTCTTTCTTTCTTTCTTTCTTTCCTAATGCTTTTCTTTCCCAATGCTTTCTTTTTTTCTTTCTTTTCTTTTTCTTTCTTTCTTTCTTTTTCTTTTCCCAATGCTTTTCTTTCTTTTCTTTCTTTTCTTTCTTTCTTTTTCTTTTTTCTTTCTTTCCCAATGCTTTTCTTTCTTTCTTTCTTTTCTTTCTTTCTTTCTTTTTTTCTTTCTTTCTTTTTTCTTTTCTTTCCCAATGCTTTCTTTTTTTTCTTTCTTTCTTTCTTTTCTTTTTCTTTTCTTTCTTTTCTTTCTTTTTCCTGCTTGCTTGCTTTCTTTCTTTTTTCTTTCCCAATCTTTCTTTTCTTTCTTTTCTTTTCTTTCTTTCTTTCTTTCTTTCTTTCTTTCTTTCTTTCTTTCTTTCCTAATGCTTGCTTTTCTTTCTTTCTTTTCTTTCCCAATGCTTGCTTGCTTTTTCTTTTCTTTCTTTCTTTCCCAATGCTTTCTTTCTTTCTTTCTTTCTTTTTCTTTCTTTCTTTCTTTCTTTTACTTCTTTCTTTCTTTCTTTTCTTTCTTTCTTTCTTTCTTTCTTTTCAATACTTATTCCTTATTAGCTTCTTCCTTTCTTTTTAATATTTAGCTTCTCATTCTTTTCATTCAAACCTTTCTTTTTAATATCTATCTTCTCTTTCTTTCATACAAGCCTTTCCTTATTTATACTTTCTTCCTTTTTCTTACCGTCTGCCGAATTTTTATTTATTTCATGGTTTTCTTTCTTTCTTTCTTTCCTTCTTTCTTTCTTTCTTTCTTTCTTTCTAATATTTCCCTACCGTTTCTTTCATTCTTTCTTTTTAATACTTATTCTTTGTTTACATCTTTCTTTCTTTTTTTCTTTCTTTCTATTTTTTTAGTATTTAATTCATTGTTTTCAACAGTTATTCTTTCATTCAATCCATCATTCATTCATTCTTTCTTTCTTTTTAATAATTAACTACTCTTTCTTTTCATTTTTCATTCATTGCTTATTTAATCTCTACCATCATTTTCAAATATATGTACAACATTCTGTTTGCCTGTTCATTTCTGCCAATGTTATTCTCTCCCCTATCCATAGATCAAGCTAACTCTCACACTTCCCAAATTCATATTGTTACTATCTATCTATCTATCTATCTATCTATCTATCTATCTCATTATTTTCTTATCACTCCATATATCTGCCTGGAAAATCTTTACTTAATTCGCATCTATAATCTTTTCCGTGTGCAATCGAGTTGAACAACACAGCGACTCCCATAGGCAACCGTGAATGTATCTAACAAAGCCGATCGTCTCTCAAGATGAACGATGACAATTAAATCCTTCATATGGCTGTCTTATAAAGAAAGGAAAATGTCGAATTATGAGGAACATAATTGATACATGGGAAAGGAAGAACAATAAATGTTAGTGAAGAAGTTGAAATCTGTTTAACAAAAAAAAAAGGAAAGGAAAAAAGAAACAAGTTTTCCGTTTTGCATTTCGATTGTGAATGTAAAAGAAGACACATTGAAGAGAGAAAAATAGAAAAGACAACGAACCCTTAGAGAGAAGAAGAAGAAGAAGAAGAAGAAGAAGAAGAAGAAGAAGAAAGACATGCAGAGAATGGAGACAAAAGAGAGAAAGAATATGCACACACACAAAAAAGAATATTAAATGAAGAAAAGAAGAGCAATGCAAAAAAGCAGGGAAGGTTAACAATGGAAGAATGCAAAAATTGGAAAAAGAACAAGGTCAAGAACAAGAAAGACGAAGTGAACGAATACAAGAAGAAGAAGAAGAAAAAGAAAAAAAAAGGAGGATAAAGAAGGATAACAAAAAAGATACAAGGAGAACAAATAAGATAGAAGATGAACAAGAAAAAGAAGATGAAGAAGAGGAAGAGGAAGACCAAGAAAAATAAATACAATAGGAGAGTGAATTAGATAAAAGACGAAGAAGAAGAAGAAGAAGAAAAGGAAGGAGAGAACGAACAAGAAAACAAAAAAAAGATCAATGAAGAAGAAGAAGAAGAAGAAAAAGAAGAAGAAGAAAGTCAATCAGTGAATAAATAAGATAGGAGACGTCGGGATGATGATGATGATGATGATGATTAAGAAGAAGAAGAGGAGGAGGAGGAGGAGGAGAACGAATGAGAACAAAAAAATGAAAAGAGAACGAATATGTTAAAAGAAGAAGAAAAAAGAGTAGGACGAGGAGAGGAATTCATGCAAGCAGGGAATGGGGGACAAAAGAAGAATACAAATATTGAAAGAAGAAGAAGAAGAAGAAGAAGAAGAAGAAGAAGAAGAAATATAAGCAGAGAAGAAAGACAACAAGCAGAAGAAGAAGAGTGATACAGACAAACAGAGAACAGCAACAAACGAAGAAACCAAAAGAAGACAAATGAAGAACGAATAACTTAGAAGAAAAAGAGGGGATAAGTTAATAATAATAATAATAATAATAATAATAATGAAAAAGAGCGAGGAAGAAAAAAAGTTCCCAAGATTCCTTGCGAACTGAACTCCAGAAATGAACCCCAACCACCAACACTCCCCCAACCCCATAACCAAACCGCGCGCGCCAAAAACAAACCCGAAGCCATTTTTCATTTCAATTATTGTTCACTTGACTCTGACGGTTGATTATCCAGCATTTCGCTTCCGTTGCAACGAGTCACGTGGTCTTGACATGCGCACGCATGCGCATAATGGGCAAAAATGCATTTCTATACCCCGTCTTTTACAAGGCTTTGTCTTTTTGCTGATTGTTTATGGGCGGGTGGTAGAAGAACTTGAGAGTGTATGGGGTGGAAGCTGTCGACTGTTCTGCGCATTGTGTATGCGGCTCTGGGTGGTTGTGTACGCGCTTGCCTGTGTGTGTGTGCGAGAATGCATACGGGAATGTGCATCGTTGTAAGATGTACCTCGACTGGCACACCTGAACCTGTGTAGATCTTCTTTAATAAAACCATTTGTGTAAATGTATGCGTGTGTGTATATGAACAGGGCCTAGAAGGTATAGTCAAAAGACAAACATTACTTAAAACTTCTAGGATATGAAAATTAAACATAGAATATTGTCCAAGTGGTAGTTTCTCCCAACACTGCCAATTGCTACAAAACCGAAACATTAACATATATATATATATATATATATATATATATATGTGTGTGTGTGTGTGTGTGTGTGTGTGTGTGTGTGTGTGCGTGTGTGTGTGTGTGTGTGTGAAAATTTTCAGAGTTAACCTGTAGAAAAAAAAAGGTAAAAATAAAATGACTCACGCAGAAGGAAAATCCTCGAGAGTGCCGCCATTGAATATTATCCAAATATTAATCTACGCCCAGGCTTTTTTCCTATTTCATCTTTCCTAACAAAATTACTATTCTTCCAAGCAAACGGACACAACAGTATCAAGAAATCAAAAGAAAATGGTTGAATCCGTCAACATAACAAGAAAAAACAATATCTCCACACGTGACAGTACTTGAAGTAATTTTCAGTTAACAGTATGAATATAGTAACGTTCTCTAAATTCTTCCAGTTGCTAAGGACATTTTGTTTTGTTATTATAAGTTACTTTGTTTAATAAATTCATTTCGTTTTTGCCTTGAAAAAGTCCACATTGGACGAAACGCGTCGGCTAATATTATAGTTTTTCTATTGTCTTTTACATATATATATATATATATATATATATATATATATATATATATATATATATATATAGTGGACTCTCCCGTCACATTTGACGTAAGCAGTTCAGTTCCTAGGAACCGACTGCCAGACACCAGCAGATATATCGATTATAGCGGTGAAGGCTGTGTGCAGAACTTTTTGAAGGACCGAATACAGAGACCTGTTGCACTACGTGACACAAGGTCCCCAAACAACCCTCCGTAGGTTTTAAATTCAGGGTTGTCCTTCTCCTAGACCAGTTGCCATCCAATTATTCCAAGGACGTCTTTTTTAATATAAAAATATTAAAAAGTTAATCCATGACGTGAGCTCAATGTATAATAATGGGAGATTTATATGCAGAGCAATATAAATAATAAGATAAACACTTAAATATTAATCAGATAGTCAGTTATAAATTTATTTCAAATAAAAAGACCTCAGAATAATCGCTGTTAAGTGATGTAATGAATATGCATACACCTGGGTTTCCCATCACAGTAATATGGTTGGCTGGTGTCAGATATAAATACAGACTGATGTGGAGGTGTATGGGGACCCCTATTGAAGACGCCTATTGGCTACGTCTACTGCCTACCACTACGACGAGGACCAGTCCATTACGGTTACCTGCTAGATTGTCCTACTCGGCTACAGTAGACCAAAACCACTTTTCGGGACATATCATTAAGTTTCAATATCTTTATAGTAAAAAATTCCTCATTTGAATAATCCCTTATAATTATATCTGTTGAAATAAAATATATATATATATATATATATATATATATATATATATATATATATATATATATATAATTTACTTTAGGAAAGGTCATATTGGGAACGAAACCTGGGCATAAACTAATATTTGGATAATATTCAATGGCAGCACTCTCGCGGATTTTCCTTCTGAATGAAATATTTTCTTTTTTATGAGTGTAGCATTTATAAAATCAAAATTGTGGTTGAATTTATTTCTATATATGACTAGTGCATTTGTTCCTAACAGAATCGCTATTCTTCCAAGCCAACGTACACAAGAAATATATCAAGCGATAAAAAAAACAAAAAAAAAACGGTTGAATCCATCAATACAGCAATATAAACTATATTTCTACATCTGAAAATATTCTCATCAACCATAAAGTAATTTACATAATTTGTCAGTTCAGTTCTAAATTCTTCTAGGTGCTAACGACATTATGTTTGTTGTTTATAGATGCTTTGTTTCAATAAATTCATTTCAATTTTTGCCTTGAAAAATCCACATGGGACGAAACGCGTTGGCTAAAAATACGGTTTTTCCTAGTGTTTTTTTATATATATATATATATATATATATATATATATATATATATATATACACCTGTCAATATTATCCTTTTCATAGTTACTGGAGCTATTCATTGTATTTTTTTTTTTTTTACAATTTCATCCCGTATTTTTCTCTGCCTTTTTAATATTAAAGGGTATTTTGATCGTAGTACATTATTTCCTCCCAGTTTGTCTAACACTCTGCGATTCTCGTTAATATTTTATATATATATATAAGTAAATCACTCATGAATGGTTGCGATGACTATATAATAAAAACAAAATGGCGGAGCAACAATATATTTTTGTATTTTATAACGGGTTACCACGGCTAAAAATTTCATATACATTAAATGCGTCACGGTCAGGTTACTCCAAACTTCAAATTAGCCTTACACCCCCAACACACCAACGCACACACACATACGCGCGCACGCACACACATACACATACGCACACACACACACACACACACACACACACACACATATATATATATATATATATATATATATATATGCAGAAGTGGAGCAGAGTGTGCAACCATATTGGGAGGACATCCAATGAAAGAGTGAAATAAAAATTTAGTTCATATTTTATTTGAATAAAATGTTTATTTCATGTTTTATCTGTTTTACATATTTAAAATGTCTTCCTTTCTCCCATTTCTGAGTACTACGCCCAATAGGCCCCTCTACTTGAGTCTTAGGGGGCATACTATTAAGGAGTTGGAATTATCAAACATAACCAAACGTCTGAAAGGATGCCCATCCTTCCTTTTAGAGATTTTGTTTTTCGTCCTGTTGGATGGCATGCCCCCCGCCCACAACAACAGTAGAAAAGGAGCTGATTTAGACGCTAGCCACCCGTCCATGCAGTACGTTGTACTGGGTTACATGTTACCAGTGGCAGGCCTAAGCATCACCTAACCAAGCAATGAGTGTGGATCAATAATTCCGTAACCTATGATAATGATTTTGATCTGGCAGTGTGTGCTTTATGTGATTAAACGTTCACCGATGAATTTACAAAGAAAGGGAATTTTACCACAAGATAAAAAATATTTTTGACATTAGGCTACGGATTACATTAAATTTATATATATTCAGCTTTGAAACAAAGTTTTTGAATGTCTCTCTGTGTGTAAAATAAACATCAGTAATTTTGGAGGAATAAAATTTAAAAGGATGGTTAAATGTTTAGATTTTAGATTAAATTTAAATCTTTCCAAACTGTATTTACAAAGATTAGTATTCAACAGGAGGAGAAAATTGAAAGGTAGAAAGATTGTATTTTGTTTATCTATATACCGGTGACGGTCTGTTTAACTGTCTTGAAGATTAGCAGTCGAAATGCTGGTTCATTAGTGGGATCGAATTCCAGCCTTTAATTACATACCGTAAATGGTAGGTTGGACGAGGTCTGGAAAACATCTAGCCATTTTGAATATCACAAGAACTTGTAGCACGGTCTTAATCTAATATGGCAACCAGGAGATCAAACTGCGTATTATGAGCAGACACTCTCCTATGTAGTAATTCAGTCGGCAATGAGACGATGTTGAGTGATCTTGTGTACTAAATGACCATTTTGTGTATTGTATGACCACCGCATTCATCATGGCAATGCCTCTGTTCATTGTCCACGTCTCCGTTAGAGAAAGAAATATCTTAATAATCAGGTATATCAGAAAACTCAGCAATGTCCATATTTGGCAGCGTGCTGCTTTGAGCTTTTCTCAAGGCTAACGTAGACATATGTATGTGTAGGTCGTGTAATGTTTAGCGGCTCGGAACAAAAAACTAGTGAGACGAACTTAATTCCTGTCGAGTTCTTCAATATATGAACCTATCATTTCTCAAAACTCTGAGTAAAAACAGTAGAGCAGAGGTTGGTCCTAAGCTTTGGTTGGTAAAGAGTCAACGAGAATTACAACTACGAAAACGATGCCAGTTTGGATATAGGGCTAGCAACTCCATCCTATAAAATCATACTTGATCCGGATACCACGGTAGTGACGTCTGGCGTGCTGAAGCCGTGCCCTTATGCTCGGCAGGATTTGAGAGAACATGGCCGCTTAAACGAAGATTTCGTAGCGTGGCCGAGATTAAGGAGAATGCATTGAGGCAGCTGATGGCGATCCCGGAAGAAGATTTTTAAAAAATCAATTGACGATAGAATAAGTTTGGGACTACGGGCCACCGGATTTGACATCCGCGACGGGCACGGGATTTCGTACTTAGTAGAGCAGACATCGCGATGCGATCTTTTGAAATTAAACCCTCGACCGACTCGATACTTTTATATAAATACATTATAGGGAATTAAAGGAATTAATGCCTAGTGTATGTTACTCACCACTTCAGATTAAATGGCTGGGGCTTTTCTGATCCGTAGTTTAATGTATGTAGAAACTGAGATCGTTTTTTGCAATCCTCAATTGTGGGTTTTTGGTGAAGTTTTGGGCCCCTCTATCTTTAAGTAAATAAACTAGCAGAAATCAACATGGAAAAGAGTTTCTTCTCATGTAAATGATCACATTTTCTTAAATGATATTCTGTTTTTTTTGTGGTTTTTTATATAAAATACGTCTATATTTATTTTATTCTTTGTATGTCGATTATTTTGCTCTGAAACTTAAAAATAATCTAACAGTATTAACCATGACTTTTTGAAAGTCACCTAATGTAAATATGGAACTAAAAAAAAACTATAGATATGACAACGCAGCTGCAAAAATACATTGTTAACGTTTGCGTTGTTTACGAAAGTAAAGTGCATGTCAGTGAAATTCTTCTCCATGTCAACTGTGGCATTTACGGTAAAAATGATTGTTTTGCATTTAGCAGTTTGTTTGTTGAGTTGTCGTCAGTTTTTAGAAGGTTTTTTTTTTCTTTCTTCTCTAACTGCTAATCATGGACGGAAGGTGTCAAGCAGCTGAAAATCCTATCATTCACTTAAGCTAAAAATGGAAAGAGAAAAAAGCTAAAAACAACAACAAAAAAAAAAGAAAAACTATATAAACGGCTGTATTTATTTATCTAGATCGAATTCCGGGAAAAATTCGACTGAAATATTCCCAAATGATATTTAATTATGCTTCGAAATCATGTTATGAAACAAACCGAGAGATGATTAGATACATTAAAATCGTACAAGCTGCCAATTTTCTCAGTGAATCGGACTATATATATATATATATATATATATATATATATATATATATATATATATATACACACACAAGACAGACAGGCTTACGGAGGTGTTGAGGCCTCACACTTATACACAAACCCACATGAACATACACACTTACACACATCATGCTCACTCACTCCCTAATGAGCCAAATGATAACACACACCCACAGCAATATACACGCTTACACATATCATACTCACTCACTCCCTAAGAACCAAGTAACACACACACACACACACTTAACAGAGACATATACCCTCTCCAGGACCAATAAAACTGTCAAACTGACCAGGAGAATTCAGAGCAGCATAGATCCATCCAGCTCTTATCTCAAATAACAACTTAAAAGAGACTGTTTGACCAACACAAGGAATGTTAAAAGATTCATGTTAAAAAGATAAAAAAGCAAAAAAACAAATGAAAACTACAGACAAGAGTTCATTTTCTCCAGCAAAACATTCATTTTTGTAGTTTACTGCTACCAGCAAGCAGAAATATTTATTCTCCTGATGATGGCCATTTTGGCCGAAACTAGTCGAGGAATCTAAAATAAAATAATAATAATAATAATAATAATAATAATAAAACGAAAGAATATTAATTTACATCCCAGTGTGTCAGAAGATTTTAATTTTTTAATATTTCTTATTGTTAAATATATATATATATATATATATATATATATATATATATATATTTAAAATTTGTGTATTTAGGCAGCAATCCTTCTTTCATGGACTTTTCATTGAATACGACAGACAAGGTGCTTTTATTTAGCTTTTTATACAATTTCTCATGCGATCTAATAGTTTTTTTTCCTTTTCGGATGATAAATTCTATAAAAACTGTCCGAATGTTCTTTTTATCCGAGCGCTTTCGGCTATACATTTAGCCATTTTCAAGGATTAAATATTTTAACTGTTAAATAAGAAATAGTTTGTTGTATGTATGCTTTATAAAATGTTTTCATTTTTCAAAACACGGTCAAGATATTATGCCCATGTTTTTTTTTTTTTGTTTTTATTAATTTTATTTATTTATCTAAAAATGGCTAAAAATAATGGAAGCCTTATTAATAAAAAAACCAAAAAACATTTCAATTTTTATCTATCTGGTCCTCTGTTGGCAGAGATTTCTTTTTGCGAGGCATACTGCTGCCGTATGCAATAGGCAATATTAATCTACAGAAGAACACAAAATTAATCGCTGCGTTTAAGTATTGCATTAACATATAGGCTTTTTTTTAAAAATAATTCTTCTGTCGCCACTTCATTTGATGTGCGTAGGTCCTTACTTTCTGCACAATCAATTATTTTTATTTCCTCGGTGATCCAGATTGCAATCAAAAGAGCCAAGGCTACAGCGAGGAAAAGAAAGTCCCGTGCAAATGAAAAGCCAGATAAAACGGCTGCCCGGAGAGCTTCCAATGCTGACAATATACAAAGACTTAGGAACTCTCAAACTCCTGAACAAGCCGAAACCCAATGAAGTGTATGGGCATGTGCTTAGCTTAAATGCCGCTCGATTGGGCGGATTTTAAGCTAGTTTATAATAAATAATGTCTTCTTATGCATTATTTAAATTGGATGTAATTAGTCCTAATTGCTTGAATTATTTATTGATAAAACTTTAAATTGTGTATGTTTTAGAGATATTCGATATATATATATATATATATATATATATATATATATATATATATATATATATAAATAAAGAACAGTAAGATATATAATCCGGTGTTCTTATAGATATTTTTATTTTTACAAAATAGTGCTCAATGTAAATTTACAGAGCATAATATTATAAATTAATTGATTGAAAATATGTTTTTCGCTACACAATTCTAACCATGTTTCAAAAATAGAAAAAAGCCCTTTTAGCTTCTATTTCTGAAACGTGGTTAGAACTGTGTAGCGGAAAAACCATATTTTATATCAATTAATTTATATATATATATATATATATATATATATATATATATATATATATATATATATATATATATATACATACACAGACACACACACACACACACACACACACACACACACATATATATATATATATATATATATATATATATATATATATATATATTCTTATTTTCTGATTTACAATACGTTGCGGGACGACACACCCAAATAAATGGAACGAAATTTCTAAGTGATTCTTATACAACAACACATTCACCATGCGCCCATCACATAATGGCGCCACGTATTGTTTACATTAATCACTCGTACGGCAAGAGCAGAAAGGCTCCCGCCGTTGCTTGTAAACAGAGCATGTTTAAGCTTGTGGCTCGGCTCCAGGAAGGTCTGTAGACTTGGAAATACTTGTAACAGCTAAGAATGGCGGTTATATCATATAAAAGACTGAATTATATAGATAGCTAACATTATAGTGCAATGACGCCACATACAATCCACGTGCCTATCAGTCAAGCCAATTAGGTGACCGCCCAAGCTTACTTGAGTCTCGGCGTTGCCTTACATTCGTCTTGGAAGACGCACACTTAATTTTCAATGTGTTTTTTAGGGAAAATAGTGTCTTTTGTAAATCGTAAAATACGACACACACACACACATATATATATGTGTGTGTGTGTGTGTTTTCAGAGAGAGAGAGAAAGAGACAGAGAGAGACAGACAGAGTTGTAGATATGTAAACTGAGAGAAGGTTAAAGCAACTGTGCGAGGGAGCCTATCGCTTATAAATACAAATACTACCATATCTGATCAGGTGCTCCTGGAACACATCTTGAGATTCTTCAAAGAACTGTCTGTAATGTTATCATTCCTGACTAGGTATCCCGACTTCAGTTACTTTGCCCAGCGACGTCACGTGGCTTTCCCCTGTCTTTTCTATGAATATTCTCATAGCAATTGTTTCCTTAAGTTCTCCCCCCCACCTGCTACCTCGACTGCATGAATCTAAGCGTACTGCTCGACTGGCGACTCGGTCTCACAGTTTTACTGTTGAAATGGTAGATGCGACAGTCAGTACTTTTATAATAGTTTATTTTCTCGAACTTCTTTCCTGCAGAACTAAATTCCTTGACCCCTACGCTCCTCAAGACTTCAGTGCAACGTCAATCGTTATAATATGGATTCTTGAAACCTGTTCTTTTATTTCCCTTTCTCTTCACTAAAGCCGTCTCATTATCTCTTGCGTCTTATCAATATTATCGCCTTGTTTGGGGTGAAATGATTAAAAACACAAAGCAACATACAGACACATAGGAGTATCTATCTATCTATCTATCTATCTATCTATCTATCTATCTATCTCAATCAGTTCATTATCTATCTATGTCTCTACATTATCTATCTATCTATCGAACGATCGACCGTCTCTTCATTATCTATCGATCTCATATCTATCTTAATAGTTCATTATCTATCATGTCTCTACATTATCTATCTATCTATCTATCTATCGAACGATCGACCGATCGATCTATCTCATTCTGTTAATATCTATTTATCTATCCCAATATCTCAGTCTGTCCATTATCTATCTATCTATCTATCTATCTATCTATCTATCTATCTATCTGAGTCTGTGAGTATGTATCCTTACACCCACACTCAGAGAATGTTAGACAAGGTCAAAGTTTAAAGTAAGATTCGGCTGCCGTTCAAAAGTTGCTCGCGTCCTCTTGGCACTTCCCCTTTTGGGGATGCCTCAGGCGCCGAGTAATGACCACAGCCCCCTCGCATAGGAGATGTAATGCCTGAGGGCACGGACCCCCAAGACACATGCAATATTAATTTAACACTCCTCAGCTCGGCTAGACTATTGAAGTATGCATATTACTTTTTCTGTCTATATCTACATATATGTTGCTTTCTTCTTTCTTTCTTTCTTTCTTTCTATCCCAGTCTATTAATACCTATTTATATATCTGTCTGCCTGTATGTATTCCTCTTTCTCTGTTTGTCTGTCTCTCTCTCTCTCTACACACACACACACACACACACACACATATATATATATATATATATATATGTACATGTCTATCTGTGTATGTTCATATCTCACTCTCTCTTTCTCTCTCTAAATACACACATATAGCTACCTAGATAGATAGATAGATAGATAGATAGATAGATAGATAGATAGATAGGGGATGTGTAAGGAGATAATATGGACCCTCCCTGGAGTAGAGAGTAGGAAACTTATATATCCTTATTAGACGTCATATATTCTAGCCTCGTATCATTAGTCAGTCATTTATGTGACATGCATGATACACGCTTAGGCGATCATGTATCTTTCGATAAATAACTAACGAGGCAGATGTTTTCCCACAGTAGGTTGCCATTTCTTTCTGCGGTAGACCAGTTGCCATCCAAGGCTATAGAACCCGGTCTTCCCTGCTATTTGTCCATACCTGAGGGAGAAGAAGAGGATTCATACCTTTCCTAATGGTATTAGCACGTAATTGAATGTAATGCATTTGACAGTAATTTGAACTCGGCTCTCCGAATCCAAATTCACTAACTGGAAATCCGAGGCTGTCAAAAATTATCCGCACATTCTTCATAAAATATCAGTAGGTTTGTCACAGTGCCTTCTGCTCATGCGTAATTATAGGTGTTGCTGTTGTAGTCACGTGATCGAAGTTTGAGCTTCCTCACTCCAGTTTAATTGCTGCTGTTACAGTGTAAACATGGCCGCTTCGCCAGCAGTATTCACTAAAGAGGAACAAAGAGCAGTGATCCGAATCTTCAGCGAACATGCTACCTCATCGATAACATTCCGGTTCACCATTACCCTATCTCAAGCATTGCTGGATCTTCTCGTTAGCGATGGAGTTAGACAAGCGTCCTGTTTCTTTTTTGTGTTTGTCCGGCCATTTTTAAACTTCCCTGTCAACTCATACACCCTTCTACGCGGTATTGTATTGTCGTCGTATTGTGTAAAAACGTCTCTTATGAATTTTACACCTGAGACATCTTCCGAACAGAAAACTCGGATCGCTTCTATTTGTTATTCCTTGGTGCACACTGCTTGCGGAGTGGCCATGTTTACACTGTAAAAAAATAGCAAGTAAAACAACAGCGAAAACATACATATCCAAAACATTATCCTAAAAACTGGAGTTCTGTTTTTAAATTCAGTGTACTTAAATTCGTGCAGTCGGGGCAAGAAGGAGCAATGCTCATCAGAACAATTGCCATGAAAATATTTCAAGACAGAGGGAAGCCACGTCACATCGATGAGAAAGTGACTGAAATCGAGATGCCAGATCAGGATCGGTTATATTACAGATTTTCCTTGAATTTTGCCAAGAATCACGAGATATCAAGTAGGAGCACTAGACCAGAAATAGCAGCTGTAAAATTTCTCAGATTTTCGTAAAAGATTAATATTAAATTCTTGATTCTTTCTTTCTTTCTTTCTTTCTTTCTCTCTCTCTCTCTCTCTCTCTCTCTCTCTCTCTCTCTCTCTCTCTCTGTGTTCTTTCTCTTTCTATATTTTCCCAACTGTTTCTTGCTCTCTTTGTTTTTTTCTTGTTTTCTTTTGTTTTGTTTTTGCTGCTCGCCTTGCTCTCTCCTTATTGCTTGTTTACTGTCACTCTTAACCGGTAAAAAATAGGAATTACTACCGCGAATGTCCAGACAGGAACATTATAACCAGACTCGCGAAAGAAGTGTTCTTGGAATTCATCCCAAGCTATCATGATTCCAAAGTTACTTTTGTTGTGGGGAAATTCCAGAATGTATTAATAAATAATCAGAAGCGTCTGTGAATTGGTTAACGAGAGAATCAGGTGCAGTTGCACGGCTCTTCGAGTTGAGGCTAGGTCTCTTCTTTTCTAATCTTTTTTCTTCATATTTATTTCATTTTCTTTCTTTCTTATCTCCGTTCCATGAATCAATATTTGGTTTTGGTTTCGGGCTCACATTTTTCTTCCCTGCCTCCTTCTTTTACCGTCTTCATTTCTTTTTGTTTTATTTAATTAATTCTGAATTGGCTAGAGTCCGTTACACCTTCAAGGTCTTTGTTATGCATCACTTAATGATCTTCAGAGAGGCTGAGGTTTGACTTTCCTCCTCTCTTCTCACATTGGCGCCTGTTTTTTTCTTCCTTCAGTTCATCTTTTCTTTCATTGTCTATTTGCATCTTTCTTTCTTTCTTTCTTTCTTTCTTTCTTTCTTTCTATTCATTCTAGCTTTCTCTCTTTTTATTCTAGATTTCTTTCTTTTCAGTTTCTGTTCATTGCAACTATTTCTTTCTTTCTTTTTTCTTTCTTACTTCCATCCTTTCTTTCTTTCTTTCTTTCTTTCTTTCTTTCTAAGGACTTTTACATTCTTTCTTTCTTTCTTTCTTTCTTTCTTTCTTTCTTTCTTTCTATTCATCTATTCTAGCTTTTCTCTTTTTATTCTAGATTTCTTTCTTTTCAGTTTCTGTTCATTGCAACTATTTCTTTCTTTCTTTTTTCTTTCTTACTTCCATCCTTTCTTTCTTTCTTTCTTTCTTTCTAAGGACTTTTACCTTCTTTCTTTCTTTCTTTCTTTCTTTCAAAGGACTTTTACATTCTTTCTTTCTTTCTTTCTTTCTTTCTTTCTTTCTTTCTTTCTTTCTTTCTATTCATCCTAGCTTTCTCTCTTTTTATTCTAGATTTCTTTCTTTTCAGTTTCTGTTCATTGCAACTATTTCTTTCTTTCTTTTTTTCTTTCTTACTTCCATCCTTTCTTTCTTTCTTTCTTTCTTTCTTTCTAAGGACTTTTACCTTCTTTCTTTCTTTCTTTCTTTCTTTCTTTCTTTCTTTCTAAGGACTTTTACATTCTTTCTTTCTTTCTTTCTTTCGTTCTTTCTTTCTTTCTTTCTTTCTGTTTTCTTTCTTTCTTTCCCCACTTTTAGTTTCATTACAAAGTCCTTTCTTTTCTTCTTTCTTTCTTTTTATTCTAGCTTTCTCTATTTTTATTCCAAATCTCTTTCTTTTCAGTTTCTGTTCATTGCAAGTCTTTCTTTCTTTCTTTCTTTCTTTCTTTCTTTTAACTTTATTTTCATTCTAACTCTCCTTCTTTCTTTCTTTCCTTTTATCATTCTACCTTTCTTCTTTGTCATTCTAACATTCTTTTAACCCTGGCTTTCTTTCTTTTTATTTCGGGTTTCTTTCATTTCAGTTTCTATTCATTCCAACACTTTCTTTCTTTCTTTCTTTCTTTCTTTCTTTCTTTCTTTCTTTCTTTTCAACTTTCTTTTCATTCCACCTCTCCTTTTTTCTTTATTTTTACCATTCTATCTTTCTTCTTTTTAATTCTAGCTAACTTACTTATTCAGATCTTTCTTTCTTTCTTTCTTTTTCTTTCTCTTTTTCTTTCTTTCTTTCTTTATTTCTTTCTTTCTTTCTTTCTTTCTTTCTTTCTTTCTTTTACATTGCTCTTACTTCCCTTTTCCGATTGTTTCTCCATCATCTTTCATTCTGTCTGTCTAACGTCTTTTTCCGTCATTTTTCTTCACTCTTTTTATTTTCATTTTTTCTTCTTTCATTCATTATTACATTCTTTCATTTTTCTTCCTCACTTTCTTGTTTATGCAAATGGGGCCAAGGATAACAGCTCTGAATTAGAACCGTCTGCAAACCGGGTTCGAATTCCAGTTGGGTGCGATGAATTTACACATGTGTTTAATACCGTTGAGTAAGTCATGCTTCTCCCCTTGATATGGGCTAAATAGTAGGATTTTTATCTGGAAAAATCATTTTTTTTCAATCAATTGTTAATGGAATAATCAGTAGCAAAATATTCTTACAATCCAAAATATGTTTCGATTTTTGGCAACCCAGAAAAGGTTGATAAGCCATAAAAAATAAATCAAGCAATCAATTCTTTCTTATCGGTCATCTTTCATTATTTCTATTGTAATTTTGTTTCCGTTTCCTTTCTTGTTTCATTTTCCTTTCTTTCTTTTTCCCTCTTTAGTTATTTTTTTTATTCATACAAACCTTTTTTTTCTTTTGCCTTTTTTCTTTACTTTCTCTAATTTCTTTATTTCTTTTAAGTTTTCAAATTTCTTCCTTGTTTGTTTTCTTTCTTTTTCTCTTCTTTCATCTTTCGTTCTTTTTTTTTTCTTCTTCATTCTTCTTTCTTTTTATATTATTCGGACTATTGTCCTCATCTTTGGGTCCTGTCACTGAGTGTGAGTTCGATACCCGGTTAAGGCAGTGGAGAACTTGGAGAGGGTAATTAACAGGAGATAACTGATAACTGACATCCATTCTGCCTTTCTTTCTTTGTTTTTCCTTCCTTCCTTCCTTCCTTCCTTCCTTCATTTCATTATCAATATATTCCATTATCTATATCTTTTCTTCTTGTCTTTTTTCTTCTTTGTTTTCTTCTTACTTTCCTTCTTTCTATTCTCGACGTATCCTTCCTTCCTTCCTTCCTTCCTTCCTTTTCTTCTTGCCTGTTTCCTTTGTTCGTTCTTTCTTTTCTTCTTGGCCCTTTCTTTTGCCTTTCTGACATTGTTTCTTTCTTCCTTTTTTCCTTCAATTCCATTCCTGACACATCTACACTTCTCTTGCTTTTCTTCTTATCTTTCTTTTTTTTTCTTTCTTTCTTCTTTGATTCTTCTTTCTATTCTCCGCATATCCTTCCTTCCTTCCTTCCTTCCTTCCTTCCTTCCTTCCTTCCTTCCTTTCATTCTCAACACAACCTCACTTCCTCTGTCCGGTATTCACTTCAATGCCGCTCGTTTCTCTGATTTTCGTGTCCTTCCAATTTTAACCGCTCACCGACAACTCCGCCCCGGAGATTTGGCAAACAACAACGAAAGCGGACATAGGCCAAGTCCGAGCAGACATTGACCAAATAATGACCACAGACAAATGTGCCTCCTACTCCATCTTGCCTCTCACACGCCCTGAACACTGCCTTTCTGGTCGTCTTATTCCCGTTATCAAACACATTGTCTTCAACGACAAAACCATCCCCCAACCAGCTTAGCCCCGCGTAGATCCACTACTTGCAGGTGTGAGTTACAATGCTCGTGAGATGGCCTGAATTCAAAACACGAAGGAGAATGTGACACACGAAGTTCGCACTGGGATAGCAAAAATGCCTTCCAGAAACTAAACATAATATCAAGAGACAGGAAATCTTTGTTAGAAATAAATAAATTCCGGCTGAAGTGCTATGTAATATCAATCCGCATACATGACAGGAAGTGTTGGACAGTTTCCATCGCAGATGAAGAAGTGACTTGAGGCAATTGTTATTTAGTCATATAGAATGATGCTGAGAATACTATGGACATCACATGTGAGTAACAAGGAAATTATGATGAAAATTTACATTGTTCGGACTGTTGCCTCATCTTTATTGCCATTTTCACGACGTTTCGACCCATGTACGCTTCTGACTTCTTCAGTATCTGTTTATATTTCTGAGATGAAGTATTGTGATTATTTGCACTATTTGCATTATTCGAGGGCTTGAGCGTGCTGGCCTTGTTCAAATTGTTGATCACGCTAGATAACACGCTCTTTCCCAGACACTGTAACTAAGGTCTGCTCAGCATAGTTACATTTATAAACGACAGGTGAGCTCTGTGGGTGTTGAATAAACGCAAATGTGCCTGAGCAAGCGTCTACCATAGGGATTGGCTAGCCGCCCTAGTAGACAGGTATCCTCGAATACGAGTGGCCAGCACACATATATATATATATATATATATATATATATATATATATATATATATATAGGGTGCAATGCGTAAATTTTCACGATTGTATATTTTTAATTTCGCGCTATTAATTTTTAATTTCTTTCTCTTCTCTCTCTCTCTCTCTCTCTCTCTCTCTCTCTCTCTCTCTCTCTCTGGCTTCTTCAGATTAAAATGAAATAAAGACAAAACTGTATATAAGGAAAATGCGTTGGGATGCCTGAGTACGTGTTAGGACCATGAATCAAATTACCTTATCGCCTCCATAGCCAGACTCAAGAGAGTCTTTGTATGCTTGTTTTTATTTGTTTGCTTGATTTATATTGGGTTGAGTCATAAGTAATTTCCGTTGGAGGGAATAAATAGCAATTAGGAATTTTTAATAACTGATCATACGTGACAGATGAGAATAAATTTGAAGCTCACTAACATATGACAATGTTCAACGCCTAAGTTGGTATATTAGCAAAGATACATCTCGACAAATGACCCCCAAGCGCTAAGCCCCAGAGAAGAAATATTAAGTATTATTCATTGGTTCTCGAATCGCAATGTGGACCCTAAATGGCGTGTTTGGCGTAGTTGGGGGCGTATTAATCAGTTTTGATCAACATTTCTTTTTTTGGTTTGCCGTAAGGAATTGTAAATATCGGACTACCTTTCATTTAAATAATAATAATAATAGTAATATTAGGTTAGTGCAAAAATAATGAAGTAATAATGTCGTTTTTTGACGCATTTTTTAACGTCAAAGAACGACATTATTACGTCATCATTTTTGCACCAACCTAATAATAATAATATTTATTAAGAATTTATTACAGAATATATAAAGTTTTACGGAAACATTGTTGACAATTATCTATTAAGTTACATAACATAAGAATAATATAAATTTTGATGCTATATTCGATTTGTTGTTAAGTAGTTTCATTTTCTCTTTTTTATTGGCAGCATTTTAGAATACTTTGACTGCAATGCTAAGTTTCCTAAGTTGAACAAACTGGGGCTATTTTGTTTATTCTTTGTTACCTCTCTTTTCAATTGTAGTTTATAGATCGCTTTACTCTAGTAATTTTGATGGGCACCAACGAAATTTTGAAATTTAAAATCATTTTATTCCATTTCAAAAAAAAAAAAGCCTGTAAAAAGGAATATTTTTAAATTAATATACGACCAAAAATAAAATACTTTCACAAAAAAAAAAAAAAAAAAACAAACCTTAATGATTTCATTATAATTATGCAAAAATAAATTAATGATATTCTGCAGACAAATCTACGGTTTATGTTACCTCATCTCATTGTATGGTACCGACCTAAATTGAGCTTGAAATATTGTGTAATCGACTGTAATTTTTTTTAAAGATACTTCGATATGATATAATGAATAACTAGCAGTGTAAAAAAGCAATTTTCGATTTTTTGTTGAAAACCATTTTTCGTACTTGATTTGCACGTTATATAGCGTGATCAACAGGCTGAACATGGTCAGCACGTTCAAACCCTCGGTCACGATGACTTGTGACTTCGTGCTAGCATAACCTCCGACGGCCCCCAAGGGTTCCGGATATCTAATTTCGCTCACAAAGTTTGGGTAAACCTGTGATATGGTTTTCAGGCACTTCCCAGACGTGCCGCTAGCTGGGGTAGGCTTCCTTCAGATCAATAACATCAACAAATCACCTTCCTGACAAATCGACTGTGGTGAGTTTCGAACCCGGGTCTCGTGGTCAGAAAAAGAACGTTCTAATTACCCGGCTACGTTCCCATGATATGATGTAATAATGTTATAATCTATAATATTTGTTACATTTTTAACAGATGCTATTAAAATGTTAACTTTGCTTACTTCTCTTTGTGTTCAGGCTGTGATCTAAATGCTTAGATGGTTACCACTGTCGGAAGGAAAATGGCTATTGTTTACTGATTAAACAATTTAATTATAAAATAATCACCTCGACATAAAGACCCCAAAAAGCCAGACCAGAAAAAATAAAAACGGAGTTATTATTTTAATTTTTAATTTTAAGTGTGTATATTCAAATTAGTTAATTTCCCTAAGAACCGTTAAGATGAATAAGTTATATATTCATAGACATTAATGAAACAAATCATTATTTGATTTCATGTGTTTAACGTAATTATTGCATATATAATAATAATTCCGACTAGGAAACCGGCATTATATTTAATCACTTCATTTTCAGAGACTCGAGCGAACACATGTACAAAGATTAAGCTTTATGTATATAACGGTAGGAACATAAGAAGTACTTGAATGGCGATCACCATTTGAAAAATCTCTTGAGGAATAGTGTCGGGTATCTTTTCGTGTAATTGCTACTGAATACAAAAATTGATCAATCCTCTAAAGAACACAACGACATCTGCAGTCAGAATAGCATTTTTGGCGAGAGATACCAATTTTACATAATGGCATAGTAAATACCAATTTTACGAAATCGCCTAGTAAATACTAATTTCGTATAATGGCTTAGTAAATACCAAATTTAAAGTTATTTTTGTGGGTGGGTTCACAGGAGTTGACAGTAAGTAATTTATTTTTGTTATTCAGGATGGAATACGAAATCGCACAAAAAGCTCCATTTTCCTTTCACTTTTCTTTTCCAATTTTTTCTTTTCTTTTTCTTTTTCTGCTTTGTTTTTTTTTTCGCGTATCTTTTTCCCTTTGTCATATTCACTTACATTTTATTCCTACTTTCACTTTCCTTTTCCAAATTTCACTTTTTTGTCTCTTTCAGCTTTACTTTTCTTTTCGTATCTTTTTCTTCTCCTTTGCTCTATTTTCCTTCATTTTATTTCTACTTTCACTTTTCTTTTCCTCTTTAAACTTTACTTTTTTGTATCTTTTTTCTTTCCTTCTGCCATATTCGCATTCATTTTATTCCTACTTTCACTTTTCTTTTTTAATTTCTCTTTTCTATTCTCCTTTCCTCTCCTTTTCGTTTTGTATTGTTTTCTTTCCTTTTGCCATATTCGTATTCATTTTATTTCTACTTTCACTTTCTTTTCCTCTTTAAACTTTACTTTTTTTATCTTTTTCTTTCCTTTTGCCATATTCGCATTCATTTTATTCCTACTTTCACTTTTCTTCTAATTTCGTATCTTCTCTATATATTTTCCACTTTTTCCGTTCAGTTTATGACTTTCTTTAATATTTTCATTTCCTACTTTCCATTTTCTCTCTTTTGCTACGTGCTCTTATGTCTTGTACATTTTCTCTGCCCATTTACGATTTCACTCTCTGATTTTCTGTTTTATTTTTTAATCTTTTCCTATTACTTATTGTTCATTTTCTACTATTTTTTCATATTTTCATTTTACTCTTCCTATATTTTTAAAAATATATTTTCCTATGTTTTTTATTTCCATAATTTCACTTTTAGTTTCTTACTTTCGCTATCTATTTCCTCTTTTATTTCATTTTGCTACTTTCCTTTTTCAATTTTCTCTGTTAGTTTCGTTTCCTACTTTCGCTTTCCTTTTTCTATTTTCTCTTTTATTTCCTACTTTCACTTTCCTTTTTCTATTTTCTCTGTTAGTTTAGTTTCCTACTTTCGCTTTCCTTTTTCTATTTTCTCTTTTATTTCCTACTTTCACTTTCCTTTTTCTATTTTCTCTGTTAGTTTCGTTTCCTACTTTTGCTTTCCTTTTTCTATTTTCTCTTTTATTTCCTACTTTCTTTTTCCTTTTTTATTTTCTCTGTTAGTTTAGTTTTCTATTTTCGCTTTCTTTTTTCTATTTTCTCTTTTTCTTTTAATTTCCGACTTAATTTCCTTTTTTACTTTCTCTGTTAGTTTAGTTTTCTACATTAGCTTTCTTTTTTTACTTTCTCTTTTACTTTAGTTTCTGACATTTTTTATCTCCCTACTTTCACTTTTAGCTTCCAACTTTCGTTTTCCTTTTTCTATTTTCCCTTTTACATTAGCTTCCTACAATTTTCATTTTGCTACTTTCACTTTTATTTTCCTACTTTCACTTTCCAACATTCCCGCATTGCCTTTTACTTCCCTACCGTCCCTTTTCACTTTTCTTCTTTCTGTTCTCATATATTCTGTCCATTTTTTTTACTCACTTTTATCTCTTTCGAATCTTCTTTTCCTACATTCTCTTCTCTTTATATTTCATGAATTTTCTTGTAACAACGTTTGTGACAAGCCTGACATTTGAATAAGACTCGCATTATGAAACAACATCTTCATGTAGTTTAATAACTCCTTCTTCTTAAAGCTTTTTTCTTACTTCCGATTTGATGCAATTTAAAAGAAATGCGTCATTAGTATTTTTCTCAGTGAGACTGCCATTGTAATGCGTGTACTGAGCAACATTTCTATTGTATGCATGTAACGACAGACTAGCGGCTAAGAATTGAAACGTTTGGTTTTTGGGTACAAGGTTAGTGTGGCTCGTTTTCTCTTAAAATAACGGAAAAACATTCCATGCCAAAATTTATTCAGGTTAATTCTAACGAATTTAAATAGCTATAAATCATGCTTATAACGACTTTAAAATCATTATAGGCATTTAAATTATCAGAAAGCCTGCCAACTTTTAGGTTTAATCATCTTGCGGCCTCAGCCGAGATTGAACTCACCAATACTTTGATTGGTGTAGTTCATAATCTTGTCAAATAGCTGAATTTTTGATGCTTCGCTAGGGTTATCAAGGGTGTTTTTATCGTGACACCAACACTAAATGGATTGCCAACCAAGGCTCAGAGAGACTCCATTCACCCTCCTCTAAGAGCAGGTTTGAATTCAGAGTTTTCCTTCTCCTAGACCAGTTGACATCCAAGGCTATAGAAGCCAGTCTCTCCTGCTATTTACCCATAGCTGGAGGGAGAAGAAAGAGGATTCACACCTTTCCCAAGGGTGTTAGCACGTAAGTGAATGTAATGGATTCGACTGGAATTCGAACTCGGCTCTCCGATTCTTCAATCCAAGCCGCTATCCATTACTCCAGGTTTAATACTGTGACGACTAGGAGCAAGCCTAGATTTGTTACCTTTAACATCTCGAATTTGTAGTGCTTTCAGGAATTCTCCAACGAAGTGACGGTTAGAATTATTGAGAGCCAACCAATGGCGCAAATATTTACGTGTGTACAAATTTGTTTTTAAATCGCTGGGAATATTTGAATGCAACTCAGCAGGATTCAATGTAACGCCGAAATGAGCAACTGGCTTGTTTGACTGATTCAACCGTAAAGAAAGTCAACCCGTCCAAAGTAAACCATTTACTTGTTTGACAGTCCGTTTGCTCTTCTTTTCAAACATGTTTAGAGCAAATACAAATGGCGGTGTAATAAGGACCCTAAGATTTAAGATAAGAAAGAAAAGTGATTCTACGTAGACTGTTACGGTGTAATAAGCAAGTCGCACGTTGTTATGAAAGCAGTCAAGAAACTTATGCGAGGTGTGTATACATGTCCTCATTCAGAAGTGGAATAACAAGTTTGATAAGGAAAGAGACTATACTGAGAATTAGTTTTGGTATTATGTGATATAAAGAGTGTTCCAATAACTTGGACCGATTTTAAATGTGAATTAAGTTTAAGCGTTTAATGATTTTTTTCTTTTTCTTTCAGATTTGGCGAACATTTGGGCGATATAATTTATCTCACATAATTGCCATGACTTAAATAACATGATCCAATAGAGAAATAAATAAATTTTCACTAATGACACTACGGCTATTGTTTGCAATGGACGTTAAGTGTACGAAAATTTAACGCTACACGAACACACTGGCAAGCCTTACCAGTGAGCAAATCAAAATACTATGGACAGGCCCGGAAAACTCTCCTGAATTAAATCCAATCGAGGATCTGTGGTCAATCTGCAAGGAACGATTTCGTGGAATGGACATACGAAATTGTAACATGTGCACTGGTTCATGTTTCATTGGAAAATACGAAAAGAAAATGAAATAATAACGAAATTATTCGTTTGTTTCAATTAGGTGTAGGTGATCATGGCCACCCACATCTTCCTCTATAATTAATTTTCACAAGGGTGTAAATTCACCTCAAGTAAGGCGATAAAGTAACAAAGGTTTAGTGGAAAAGAAAGTGTCTGAAAAAAAAAAGCCCCAGAAAGATGACAATAAAAGAAATTGATTCAAGGAGACAGAAGATGACGATTGATATTGTGTTGACATTTTTGGAGACCAAAATTGACAGGAAAGCTGTTAGCAGAGAGCTGATGGCTAAATCTATCAATATCAGGTGTAAAATTAAATGAACTAGTCGTCAATCTGGTTCAACAAATGGATTCAAGATATCAAAGAGGGAAGGTCACCCGAAGAATTGCCACGAAGATGTGTATAGAAGAGGCAAGGGGAAGTTACTTTACGAATGTGGAAAAGCTGAGATGCCAGGTCAGGAGTGATAATAATGCAGATTCTTCTTTGGATTTAGTCAATAACCTATACATATAAATCAAAAGGTCCAGAACAAAAGTGGCAACAATATCCAGTTCATGGACTAATATATATATATATATATATATATATATATATATATATATGAAGAAAAATATACTGAAAAAAACAAACAAAAATCCTAATATGCGATTATGCTGTTTTAATGTTTAATGTCAACGTCGGACGTTTCGGTCTAATAGACCATCTTCAGGACATATTCATAAAAATAATTAACATAGACCATATCTATTAGACCGAAACGTCCGACGTTGACATTAAACATTAAAACAGCATAATCGCATATTAGGATTTTTGTTTGTTTTTTTTTTTCAGTATATTTTTCTTCATACTGTCGGATCTATATCCATATAATTTCTTACATATATATATATATATATATATATATATATATATATATATATATATATATATATATATATATATATAAGGAAGAGGTTATAGTAGTTCAACGATAGAAAAGTGTGTATATTAAAAAGAAGAGAGAACCCGCAAAAGTTTTTGGTTGTAATGTGGATTGTTTTTCCAAAATATTGTGCTTTATTTTCCACTAGCAGCATGGCCGGGTGTTGCTCGTGCTTGATTCAAAAAAATCGTACGACTCATACAGCAATCGCTATCACTTGACTTAAAATATTTTTGCCCTAACTTGCCTTTAAATGAGTGCCCTTTGCCGTGCTGATATTGCTACATGCCTTACTTCTTGTCTATCTCACACTGCGAAGTTTTTTCTAAGATCTATACTAAACATTACATCTGTTACGAAAAAAGAACTAAACAAAATGAACACAAAACGACCAGCTTTAAAAAAGGACTCGTAACTGGAAAAACCGAATGAAAAAAGAATGTTGACAACAAATACTTTTTCACACCCAACCCAGTTCTGCGGAATCAGAATCAACGTTGAGTTTAAGCAAGCGAAGGAGCCAATTGGAGTAAAGTGCCATGCAGATTTAAATTTTTCCCGCTTGTGACGAATGCAGATTTTTTTTTGCATGCTAGCATGCTAGTTAATATTCGTGTCAGTCAGCTGTTGGCTCTCATGCTGGCCAATAGAATCTTCCTGTCTATTCGTGGCAGCCAGCTATAGGCTCTCACTCTGGCCATTAGAAAATGGCCGCAAACTACATGAAAACTGCCGTAGAAGCAAAAAAAAAACGATTATTTCCACTATCGATGGGAGTTGGGAAATGCAACGTCGGTCTTGGCCTTCCCGCTAACTTGGAGCATGTGCATGTAAATTTTGGTGCAAATCCGTCGAAAATTGCGGCCGTGCATTCGTTACACACACACACACACACACACACACACATCCTGCCTTTTATAGATAGAGATAATTTATATATATATATATATATATATATATATATATATATATATATATATATATATGTGTGTGTGTGTGACAAAATGAAAAAGTTTCCTTGTGATGCGTTTTCGTCCTTTAGAACTTCATTCAACTAAATTAGTTATGTTGGTGTGACTATAAGGGATACTGTGAATTTAATTTTTTTTAATGTACTCGATGAATAGACGAGACTCGTCACAAGAAAGCTTTTTTTTCACTTTGTCATACGTTTTTGTTCCAATATTTCCTTTTTATACATAAAAATATATATCCTTCTGTTGCCTAAATACTCTCCTCAAGGAATGTGCCGTCAAGTGACTGCAGCCACGCTTGCATCTCTGCAACACCAGCGTTAATGGCGTGGAGTTAATTCTCAAATGAATTCCGCCCCGGGAACCACAAATCCGAAGGAGCCAAATCAGAACTTAACGCGGCTGCTGCTGCTGCTGCCAAACGTCCCAATCGTATCGTTGGAGAAAATCTTTTGTCAACATGTCTGTGTTGCGGGTGGCGTTTGTCGTCCAGTAGAATGATAATGATAAATGACTTGGGCGTTCTCGAAAAACAGATTCACTGACGCTGTCCACGATTTCCCCGAATCTGGCAGCGTTAAATGTCTGACCAAGAAATGTGAAAGTCCGCGAACAACAGCTTTTACATTCCAGAGTACAGCTGCCATGTTTTTTTCTTCGCGGCTGAAAATTCTATGACTCCCTCTCTTGAAATTCACACCTTGTTTTCATTTTGTTCTCTGGGCATATGTATGAAATGCACCTGCTCTCCGGATTTCTTCTCTTATATTTCTTCGATGTCTTAATTGAAAACAAAACAGCTTTTGAACTGAGAGTTTTATCAAAAAACGACAAATACATGACACATATTCAGTTTCGAACGCAGTACACTGATAATGATCTTCTAGATTGGTTTATCAATTTCTGATCCGGAGGACTGCTTAGGAATACCAGGTGCTGTAAGCTTGGATGTGCAGGTGGTGTAATGGATAACAGCTCGCAATTGAAAATCGGAGAGCCGAGTTCCAATTTCAGTCGTGTTTTTTATATTCTTTTACGCGCAAATATCATTGGAAATGAACGGAATTCACCTCGTCGATCCCAAGATACGGGTTTAATAATTTACTGATACAAGTTCTATTATTTAATAGAACTTGTATCAGTAAATTATTAAAATCTTAAATATTTTCTTCCAATTCAAAAATATTTTCTGGCTTTAAATAACCTGTAAAAGGTCGATAAGCCGTAAAATAAATCAATCTGATCCCGAGTGTAATATTTTCATGATTTGTTGCTGTAATATATATATGTAATATATAATATTTTCATGA